CAGGTCAGGTTGGTTCTGTTGAAGCTCCAGCAGCTGACAAAGGTTCATCCTCTGAGGAGAATCTAGATCTTTCAGAAACTCCTCAGAGGATCTCAGAGGATCTKGTGGGTCTCTGAAGACCCTGGTCCTCTTCAGAGACTGGAACGATCCACAGCAGCTCCACGATAACAACATGATGTCATGGTTCAAAGGAGGGGAGTGGTCAGTGGGCGGAGCTGTATAATCTCTTATCTCCGACTTAACCTGGAGCAGGTCAGCTGTTCAGCATGTTACCATGGCGATTTACTCTGATAACAAGGGAACGAGCTTCGTAGGACTGAAAACTCTGAATTAAACCTGAAGTTAAGTGATAACCACAAGTTCGGCTTCATAGTTCAGGGCCCTGGCTTAGGTTCCAACTATGAACTTATCTTAGTAGAGAACTCACGTTGACAACTTTCTGGACTGATTGTCCTTAACCCCGCAACTCCGCTCCATTGTTTTACTGCGCTGCTCCAAGGTACTCGTCCTGTGGTCTCTCTGGTCTATATAACTGGTTCTCTGGTCTATGGAACTGGTTCTGTGGTCCAAAGTACCTGCCCTGTCCAGGAGGCTTGTGGTGTTGCTGCGGATCAGGACTGGCATGGATGAGGTTGACTGGGTTGACAAATTGAAGTGGGCGTTCCTCAAAGAGCTGTCTATAAAACAAGGCAAGTGATGAAAAACTGAAGAGGTGAACAGTCCTGAGCAGCTGAGGAATTATGTGGTGGATGTAAAGATGTGGTACCTTTGCTCTGTAACATGGAGGACTTCCCGGGTCCAGATGTGCTGCTCAGCTCCTTAACCTTCCTGAATCAAAGAACCAAAGAACAGGACATTTAGAACACTGGACACTAGTTCGTCCTTCACTAGTAAAAGTCACGGAGGTCCGATGGTCTTACAGTGGTCGTTCTGAGTTGGCAGGCTTGGTTGTTGTCGACTGACTGCTGAGAGATCGACTCCGTGACAGTTTAGCCTTCCTCATCTCTTTACCTGTTAGAAAAAGGAACATCATTCTATCCTTGTAGTAGTTCCACCTTAAGGTTCTGATTCATCTCCAGGTTCTAAGGACTAGCTTCTTTTACACTCATCTACACTCTGAAAATCGTATTAACTCCCAACACGTTGGTTTCACATATGGTGGAGAAGATACTGATCAAACGTTTTTCTGTCTTACCAGATGATGAGGCATTTCCAGATGAGGACATGGACATGGATTTAGTTGCAGAGAGACAGGTTTTACTTTCTCTTCCTGTCGAAGGTCGATGTTTCACACACGAAACACGATGACGGGTCAATAAACTTATCGATTACATCACAAACCTCAAGTTCACATGAAAGTCATTTCGTCTTTATGTTTTCTTTTTCATGCTCACGTTTTCTGTCCGTTTGTGGTTCAGCGATGAGTTTTCCGTCAGTCTGTTGTCGCTCCAGCTGTTCCTGAACACAGAGGAAACATCATTACAACTGACGATGACTCAGACTGAGGATTAACCGTTGTGTTCACACTCACCATCTCCAGCAGCAGAGTCTCCTCCTTCTCCTTCTTTTGGTCCAGAACGTCTCTCTCCTGTCTCTTATGAAACTGAGCAAACACGGTGGGGGTTACCCGACAACGGAAACAACAACAACGATGGTCCTATACTACGAAGCTGGATTTGCGCCTATGGGTTTCCGGGCCCTATGAAGCTCGTTCCCTTGTTATTGGGTAAATCACCATGGTAACCTATGCTGAACAGCTGACCTGCTCCAGGTTAAGTTGGAGATAAGAGATCAAACTGTTTAAAAGCTCCGCCCACTGACCACTCCCCTCCTTTGAACCATGATGTAACTGTCTGAGAGACAGTCTTTATTTAGGATCGTGGAGCTGCTGTGGATCGTTCCAGTCTCTGAGGAGGACCAGGGTCTTCAGAGACCCACAAGATCCTTTGAGATCCTCTGAGGAGTTTCTGAAAGATCTAGATTCTCCTCAGAGGATGAACCTTTGTCAGCTGCTGGAGCTTCAACAGAACCAACCTGACCTG